GGTGTGTGTGTGTGTGTGTGTGTGGTGTGGTCGAGGGGGGGGAGGGGAAAGGACTTGTGACCATCTGCCTGATGTGCCCCCCGCTGTAGACAGCCGCCGCCGCTTTCACCACCACCACGGCCACACATACCCACATGTATGTATGTACATATGTATGTATGTATGTATGTATGTAGACATGCATTTGCGCTTGCTACCTCCGTCCTGAAAGAAGTCGCGGGGTTTTACAACACAACGCACCACCCGCAGGGAGTCCAAAGCCGACATGCGACCCGACAAGCGCGCAAAACACATTCCGCCCCCCCTTCGCACACACACACACACACACACACACGACACGAGCACAGACAGACGGACAGAAAAAAGAACATAAGAGACAAAAATATGGACCATTGCCCGAAAGGGTCAGAGAATACGAGACAAAGCGAAAAAGGAGAAGAGGAGAAATCCCAGCTCAGCAAACGGACAGACAGACGGACAGACAGGCACACACACACAGAGCAATACACTCACAGTTGTTGGTCACAGAGGTGCACAGAGCGCCGCAGACGCTCTGAGAACGGAGAGCGCCCCCCACCCCCACCCTCCACCCCCAGCACACATACACACACACACACATACATACACACATTCCGGGGTATGCCGCCCCAAACAATTGGTATCCTGATGTGTCCGTGAGAGGACAGTGCGGACACAAACACACTCGCCCCCCTCTTCTTCCTCCTTCCTAACGACGACGGCTCCACTCACTACCAAGCGCGCAGCAAACCGCGAGACGCAGCGCCACAAGCGCCCCCGCAGCGGCTTCCATGACGGCTGGGGACTGGCAACCTCCCCCTCTCCATCCTCCGCCTCCTCATGTTACTACTGCTACTGTTGTTACTGCTACTGTTGCTACTGTTGTTACTGCTATTGCTGCTACTGCTACTGCTGTGTCTTATAGGTGGCCTCAATTTCACCTCTCGTGCTTGAATATGCACTGGCGGCGATATGGGACCCCCCGACAGAGTCTTTATTTCCCGTTACTGCAGCACCTTTTGTCTGAAGATGCGCATAAAGCCGCTACGAGGGCCGGAGAGGAACGGGGAGGCGGTGGTCTCCCCTTTTTTGTGGCACCAAGTACCGGGGCGTCAGAAGTACCGTAGCTACTTACTATCGGCACGCGCGTCGTGCGTCATCATCATCGTTCTCTCATTTCCTTTCCGCCACGTCCGGCTGGAGGGACATCACCACCACCACCACCACCACCACCACCAGTACCAGTACCAGTACCAGTACCAGTACCAGTACCAGTACCAGTACCAGTACCAGTACCAGTACCAGTACCAGTACCAGTACCAGTACCGCTACCACTACCCGAAAAGATGACATCACAGTGTATCTAGGCAGCCAGCACCTTCATCATCATCATCGACCTCTCCGCCAACTCTTTCTTGAACACAACACTTTTTTAAGACACAACGCATCCGCGTTTCATCATTCGATATACTTGTCCTCCCGCATTTGACAATGCGACAACAGACCCTCCTGCCGTACACGGAAGGTTTGTACGACAACGGTCGTACACGTATGCACACGACGTCCTCGTGGTGTTGTAACCATAAACCGACCGCCGTACACACGTCCCCCCACACACCCGCAGCCATGACAACTCAGTAAATTGATGTATATAATCGTACGACACCGTACAATACTGCGTACGTAAGCGTCGTCCACGTTACGTGTACTACGTGTTATTGCGCAAAAGTCGTTTTCAAGTGCGCCACCTCAACTGCCCCTCCAGTTACAAATCCCATCATCACTCGCATTCGTCACTGATCTCTCTTTCTTTCCTCTATCGCCGTACGGTAGCAGGACAGGCTGTCTGCGGACGAAGAGTGCACATGCGTTCCCAGGCACCCACACGCACTGCCACAAGCCCGGGGAATCCTTCAATAAATACCTTCAACAACACACACCCTCTCTCCCTCTCACCTCCACCGCACCGCACCGCACCGCACCGCACAGCACAAGATATATTTCTCTCTCTGCCCTCCCCTCCTCCTCTTTCTCCTCCCCATCCGCCTCACCCACCCTCTTTCCGTTACCTTGAAGCTTATCCTGTCATCATCCTCTTCACCCTCTCATACTCGTTATCATAATCGAGCACATACACAGCAACAGACATACACACACGCGCACGCACGCACGCACGTACATACATACAAACAGACGTACATCGCAGACGTACATCGCGGGGGCCCAGTTCATGGAAAAAAAACACAGGACGTACACCGCAGGGCTGTCAGGCCCCAATCCCCCCCCGCCAATCACCGTCCACCCCCAGAGCCACCGGCAGCTGCTACAGCCTGCGACGCGGCAGCCGACAGCACGCAGGGCGTCGACAACGGAAAATTCGGCACATCGCCGACAGCTCCCGAAAGCCCCAGACTGTCCGATCCTCCCCCTCTCCCCCCCGCCGAGGGACCCGCAGTCGCCGCTCCCAAAATTCCCCGGCCTATTCCCGTTACCCCCAACCCCGGGTTGCCGGCGCCGCAGTACATTGACTCCGGTGGCATGGAGACACACTGGGCGCCGGGACCTGCGGTGGTGGTTGTGACGGTTGTGGTGGTTGCGGGCGTGGCCGCGCCGTGGGAGGTTGACGAGGCGGTGCCAGGTCCGAGCGGTGACGCGGCGCACCCGAAAAGGGACCCGCCACCGGCCATCAAGCGTGTCAGCCGCTGCTGGAGGCTGACGGCGAGTTTGGACTGAAGAGTCATGAGGCGGTCAAGGATCTGGATCGACATGGCGCAGCAGGGACGGGAAGGAGCAGTGTGGCAGCGGAAGAGAGAGAAATGGGGGGGAGGGGCTTAGGGCAGGGGGACTCCCTACGTTTTAGGTAGGGATGGCGAGGTGGCGACGGATGCAGAAAGGACCACTACCGGGGTGCGGTGGAAGGCAGGAGGGGGGGAAAGACGAACCACGAAAACGAGTGAAGCTGCTGCCAAGGAAAGAGAGGAAGGAAGGGGAGGGGCGGAAGGAGGGAGGCTCCCCCTGGCCAGGGCGGACCCCCGGTCCCTCTAACCACCCCCCTATGCCAACCGCCAACCGCCAACAAAGGCCACACCAGTGCCAGCAGGCGGCAAACCCCAGGTGCTCACCGGTATTCAGTTAATTAAATCATTGGAGGGCTTCTCGATAAATTCCTAAGCAGTGTAGAAATTGCAGTTTCAGATAGCAGTTTCAGGGGCGACCGAACTCTCCCCCTGTGCCGCCGTATACCCAGTACCGAACCCCTCGACACCAACCCCAACCCGCCGCCCAACACACACACACACACACACACACACACACACACACACACACACACACACACGGCCCACACCCTGACCCCTTCCGCTTCCGCAGACAAAGCACAGTTACACACAAATGGAGGTTTATTGAAAACATGCGTCTATATAATGTTTATATACATACATATACATACACACATATGTTTATATACATACATACGTTCACACGCACCTGATCAAAAGTGGGTCGAGCGACCGGGTCCGAGTTCACGCACGCAAGCGCCATGTTGGCAAACGTGGCGGGCACGTGCGGCGGCAGGCGCGGAAAGCTCTCGTCCCGCACGAACCCCAGGTCAGGTACGTGCTGGAAGGGCGGCCGGCCCGTGTAGACCTCCCAGGCGATGACGCCAAAGGAATACACGTCCGAGGCCAGGGTCATGGTGCCTGCGTGTGCAAGGGTTCGAACCCGGGGTCGAACAAAGCGTCAATTCTCATTTTATTTTGCCCGGACAAGGGAAAAAACAAAAGGTCTGGAAACGCCTGGAAAGGAGCTTTGGGATGAGAGGCTAATTGGGTCGCCGATGGCGAACTTGCAAGGCCACACAGACTGGACAGAAGTGGCAGAGGCACGTGGCAACGTTCCCCGGCACTGCACCCTCCCCCATCCCACCCCTCCCCGCGCCCTAGTTCACTAAAGAGCGTGCCTGCCTGCCACGCAGCGCCGGCGGTGGTGGTGCCCACGCCCACGCCCACACACGACGTACACTACACGTACACGTACAGTAACCCACCAGTCGCCACCGTCTCTGGCGCCGTGTAGAACGGTGTCCCACGCAACGCATTGCTGACGTGGCGCTTGCCCGGTGCTAACATCCCGCACAGCCCGAAATCCGCCACCTTGGCCACCAACGTCACGCCGAGCTCGTGACGCAGCTGCGCGGCGGCGCTAATGGACCCGCCGGGTGTCGTACTACCGCTGCCGCCACCGCTGCCGCCGCCGCCACCGCCGGCGCCGCCGCCGCCCGCCAGCGCCACGCGGTTCCACATGGGCACGATGCCCCCGTTACTGCTGCTCACCGAACGCAGCAAAATGTTGGTGGGGTTGAGGTCGCCGTGTACGATGCTTCGCGAATGTATGTGCGCCATGCCGCGGGCAATGTCCGCCAGCGCGCACAGGGTAAGGGCCTGCGAGGGGCGAAGAGTTTTGTTGTGTTGTGTTGTGCTGCGTTGCGCGTGTGTGTGTATGTATGTGTATGTATGTGTATGTATGTGTGAGTATGTGTATGTATGTGTATGTATGTGTATGTATGTGTATGTATGTGTATGTATGTGTATGTATGTGTATGTATGTGTGAGTACATGTGTGCGGGTAAATACGAGGAGGCACTAGGCAAAACCATGGACAGGAAGAAATGGAGAATGGAAAGGAGCGAACCAGATGCGTGCAGGGAAACTCCTCTTAACTCCTCCGCAGCCCCTAGACTCCACAAAGGGGAAAAACTAGAGGTATATATATATATATATTATATATATATATAGACTCCACAAAGGGGAAAAACTAGAGGTATATAATATATATATATATATATAATATATATATATATATAATATATATATAATATATATATATATATATATATATATATCTGCACTATTGCGGCTGTTTACTACTTGCGGGTGAGATGGCGGCTGTGCAACGGCCACTGCCCGCGAGGCCACTGCATTTTTTGAAAAAAACTGCCCCAAAGTTGGCTAACCGTAAAAAGCCCTCGCACTTACGGGCATCCACGCACGCATGCATGCATGCATGCATCCAAACGAACAACGAAACAAACAACATACATACATACATACATACATACGCACCAGGTTAGGCATCCCAGCCGGGTCGTGGAAGGCTCGTGCGTCCAATGCGTTGGCAAGCGATCCCGCGTCACAGAACTCCTGGGGGGGGGGGGCCCCGCGGGCGGGGGTTGGCGGCAGGAGCGCGGCGGAGCGCCAGCAGGAGAGAGGTGGATGGATGGACGAATGAATGAATGGAGGACGAATGAATGGAGGACGAAGGACGAAGGACGAAGGACGAAGAAAGGAAGGAAGCTAGAAGACACGTCTCAGAGTGCTGCTGTACCCACGAAACCAACTCACATGGGCCCCCCGCATTTTTCCTCTCTCCCTCCCTTCACACACACACACACACAGAGCAGATAAACAGCAGAAGGAAGAAATACAAAACGTTTCCTCGTCTGCTGTGCGACGGGAAACGCACCGTCTGCTGCACTACACAACACAGGACCACGGCACATCGCCAACTAAATCTACATCACCCACCAAGTATTGTCCAATATTGTTTATGTGGACTATATTATAGTCCACATAAACAATATAGAGACATCTCCAAGCTCCTAGACCACCACCACCACCCCACCTGCACCAAGTAGAGTTTCCAGTCGCTGACCGCGGCCGGACCGGGTCCGCCAAGAAGACCCGCGGGGCCGCCGCCGCCGCCCCCCGCCGCCGCCGCCGCCGCCGCTGCTGCTGCTGCAGCCCGCAGATAGCTCCCGTCGCTTACCAGCAGCCCCCCCGAGCACACCACTCCCGATGGTCGTACGGGCGTGATGTCATAGTGGTACGTGGCGACCACATTCGGGTGGGTGACGGAGCAGCTCACGGCGGCCTCCAACACGGCGCGCTGCTGCGACGCCACGCCAAGGGGGCCTCCTGTTCCTCCTGCATACGTCCGTGGGTGGAGGGGAGTGGAGGGGAGTGGAGGGTGGAGGAGAGCACGCGCGCACGCGCGCACGTGGGTATGTGGGCGCTGCTCTGAGCTTTTCATGTACATGCCGAGGACTAGGACTAGGACTAGGACTAGGACTCGTTAACAGTTAACAGATTCCACTGAGGGAAGATGATGGATGCGAGCGCAACTGGAGGAGTCGAGCAGCAACCTGCGAACCTTATTCTGCGATTCTTGCCATGCAAATGCGAAGCATGATCAGCGTACCCAAAGATACGGGGGACGATGCCTAGTGTTCACCCGCATGTCCGATATACCCGAAAGCACCCCCGTGTTTAAAGCCTTGGTACTACTCAACGTGCCACGGCAGCATAAAAGCCGCCATGGAAACTTAGAAGATCCTAAAACCATGAGGCCGTTGGGAGGCGGTTAGACGTTAGTCGCCTGCCCGTCCCCGGATCCCGGAAGAAACACGAACACACACACACCGACACCGACGAGGGCTCCGAAACCAACATGAGCCAAATTTTGATTGCCCGGGCTCCCTGCATGACTCTGATGACAACAAAACGGGGGCCGGCGGCGGCGGCGGCGGCGGCGGCGCGGCGCCTCGCTTTACATATTGTGTGTAAACATATAAAACAATTCACACCATGCTATGCAGCGGAATATGGAGGTGTCTTGCACTCACTCACCCGCCACGCTCACACTAGGCAGGCTGCCGCTGTTGGCCGCCTGCTGACTGGCAACTGTCCAATTATGAGTGCTGCCTCCGCCTCCACCTCCGCTAGCGTGAACATCCCTACCACCACCGCCACCACCGCCACCAGCGGCTGCAGCCCCGAGCCCGAGCCCGAGCCCGGCGGCTGTTCCGGTCGCCGCCGGCGTCCCCGCCCAGTTCGCCGCCGAGGCGCCGCTCGTGGGCGCCATGGGCGCCGTCGGGGGGGACGTGTGCGAGGGGATGAGGTGGATACTCCCGGGCTGTGAGCAGAAGCACGCCTAAGGGAGGTGGGCAAGACGAACCACGGAAAACGAGTGAAGCAGATACCGGATATAGACACGGATACTCCGGGATTGGACTAAGGAAGGCCAGGGCATGGTGGGGAAGGGAAGAGGCGCGGGCGAGCTAGGAGGGGGAGGTGGAGGAGGAATGAGTACAAAAAGGGCTGCGCTGGTGGGGCCGCACACGTCTGGTGGAAACGAGGACTCCGGAGCCATGTTGACATATTGACATCGAAATGGTGGACGTCAAAGCGTTTTGGATGTGTAAGGACAGACACCAACCGCGGAGGCGCTTTGCGGAGGCGGCAAACGGGGCGGCAACGGCTTTTTTGCGGGGCGGCGGAAAGGACACGTGCACAAAGCGATGCCACAAACCGGAGCCCATATATCGACACCAACCTTTTGACCGCCCTCCTCCGCTTCCTGGATGACCGACGTTTGCACCGTTTGGCCGGTGCTGGGATTGCACGTGGGTAGCGGGCAACAAAGCTGCGGCTGGGTCATGTGGGCTCGGTTCTGGAACAAGATCGTCTTCACGGCCACGTCCAGATTGCGCCAGACGCCTGTGCAAATGTACGGCAAAGTGGTTTTGACGATCTCTGAGCCGTGATGAGGAAATGTGGCCCATGCTTGGTGGTGGGGTGGTGTACGGAAAAGGAAAACACACACAGCACGGATGTGAGCCCAAGATGAAAAGCCGGCGTGCGCAACCCCATGCGATACAAGTCCTCACAAATTTGGCCTTTCGCACCAGGTTAGTACTAGTGCAAGTCCCAGATAGTAAGGTATTTAGAAAAGTACCTTTCAGTTTATTCGCCCGAAAAGCTGGCGCACACAGATTTTCATTCATTCCAAAAGCACTGTCCCTGCGTAAAATTATTGTCGTACGGATCCAATGCCGTACCTCTGTACACCATGCCGTAACCGCCTTGGCCTATCGGCTCCAAAATAACCAGCTGATCCGTGCCGTGCATGGTCAGCTCCTGAATCAGTCGCTGTACCTCACTTGCCGGCTCCGGAACCTTCGAGATCGACATTGAGAGCCCAGGCGAGACACATTCCGCGTCCAAGGTTTGACCCAGCAGCGGGTCAAGCGTCCCGCCAGTCGCCATGAGCTGCGTCGAGTGCGATGCCGTACCTTCGCCGGCGCCAGGCTCCCCGCAACCCGACACACCGACGACGCTGCCGCCGCCGCCGACAAGCGTCGGTGTCGAGCCCTCCCGCCGCTGGACCGCATTACCCTGTTGCGACCGTAAGTAGTGACTGTGGGCGTGGTACCGCGTCGAGCTGCCCGAAGCCACCGGGGCCGTTGCAATCGACGGCGGCGCTGTCGTACTCGGCGACGGCGGCGCCACAAGCATGGCGGGCTGAGGCGCCGGCAGTGTAGCGGACGGCCCGCTGGCACTGCTGCTGGTGACGGAACGCGCCGGCCTTGACGGCGACCGACCTAGCGCTGCTCGTACTCGCAACCCCGACGCCGACCGTCCTGCCTCCCCCATGCCGTACAAGTGCGATCTCCCGCCCGACGGCGTCCAGATTATTCGGCGCGCCGAGGCGCCGCTTCCGCCGCCACCGCTGCCAATGCTACCGCGGCCGCTTGCCTCCGGTGCCGAGTCTAACAGGTTGGGCAGCAGCCTGGAGCCACATCGCGTGGTGACTGCACCCGCCGCCGCAATCGCCCCTGCCGCGACTTCGCCGCTTCCGGGTGCATCTAAGAGAAGGCGCCGTCCGACGCCGCTCGCTGACGTAGAGCAGGCGCTTCCGTCGTCGCCTCTTACGATACTGATATCCATGCTAGCTCTTCCCGCTGCCACCTCCCCTGCAGACTCCGATCGAGACACGGAGAAGACGTGGCGCTGCATCTGCGCAGAAGTGCCACCCATAGCCAGCGGCAACGGCGGCACTGGCAACGCCGGCGCCAACTGCGACATCACTCCCATCAGCGGCGTCGTCGTCGTTTCACTGCTGTTAAGGTCGCTAGCCGTACAAGTCGTACATTGCGGACTCCCCTCCTCGCAGGCTTTGCTATGGCTGCAAGGGCCCGGCCGAACGGCAGACGCTTCTTCCTCCGCCGCCACGGCCGCGGCATGCGCCACTGCGGCTGCAGCGGCAGCGGTGGCTCCGCCGCCGCTCCCGTTCCCCTCTCCTGTCCGTACATGATGAGTGCTGCCGTACACGTTGCAAGTACTCGCCCCGCTGCCTTCTAAGGACACGTCGGCTGCCGCCGACTTGCTAGCAGTACGAGAATCGCCGTGCTTGCCATCTGCGCTGCCCTCCCCCGCCGAAGGCAAATCGCCCGACTCAGCTCGCCGCCGCCGGGCCCGCGCGAGCCACGTCACGACGCCTGCAGCCAAAAGCAGCGCGCAGCTGCCCCCGACGACGGCGCCCACTATAACTGGTACGGCACCACTTGCGGCGCTACCGCCGCCGCCTCCGGGGGCGGCGGACTGTACGAGCGCGGTCGGTCCTGGAGCGCGGCCGCCCGCATTCGTGAAGTTCACAAAGCTCCCGCGCACTCCCCCGAATTGGAAGCTCGCCAGCTGTATGAGGCTGTCAGTGGCGTCTATCACGACGAGGTCACCTGCATTTCGTATATTTTATTAAAGACCCGAAGTTGGACAGTGCATTGAGACATCATTCATCGTACGAATTCAACAAGTACGAATAAACTTTTATTTTTTGTTATTTATTTTTATTATTATTGTAGTATTATTATCTAAAATTTATCCATTTATGGTGATTTTCCTTTCGTAAATCCACCATAATGGGCGCGTGGATACCGCCCAGAAGTGCAAAGGAGCTTTGCAGGCGATGGGTCATAGGAATTAGAGACAAAGACGAGGTGACCGTGCGCGTGCACGGCTGCAGCCGCGATACTCCACTCCCGTGGCATGGCAAGCTGGGGTGAGGGCGCGTGTAAAAAATGGGATGGCGGAGGAAGAACAATGCAAATCCAAATGCAAATCCTTGCAGAAGATTTTCTCCCCTCCCCTCCCCTCGCAAAAACCAGCGCCCCCGCACCGGTGCTGCCGCCAAGCGGATTCTGTTTTGCGACTCTGAGCAGGATGGCAAAGGCACTCGCTTTCAGCTCCACTGTGACGGACTCAAAGGACAGCCGTACCGTTGACCTGCGCACACAACACAAGTAGCGGCAGCGTCAGGCGATGTGCCCTTTGGCTCTTGGCTTCTTTGCTCCCAGACATAGAAGCTGGGTAGCCCACCGCTGTAACAGCAACAACAACAACAACAACAACAACAAGAGGGGACGAGCCGCCCACAGTGTAACACCCCATCAACAAGAAGTACAGGCCATCCATTCAAGATGCAACACTTCCCATTTCCATTTACTCTCTTTACGTATTTTTACGCGTTCTCTGCTCTGAAGGAAATGTCCGTCACAAGTACGTATGTATTCGCAAGGAACGTAAGAAACGTCTTTCTGCTTATTCCGCTAAATTGTTTTTCCTGCGCCGTTTTGAGGTATAAATCGAGGAATGGCAAGAAGGCACAGGATGGAGATGGACGGCACCGCGTACACACACGACGGGAACACGAAACAACACAACCCATCGCCCAGGGCCACCAATCCCCCGTTCGAATCCCGCTCAAACCTGTTGAAGATGAAAAAGCCTCCAATGGAGCCCAGGTCCGCGTTCTTCGCACCCAGCGTCTGTTCAATCAACGCGGAGGAGACATTGCGCAATGTGACACCCATGAAAACCACGGTGGTGGTGAGACCCGACAGCCGCATGGCATCCGTGATACCAGCCAAGTCCAGAACTGCAGGCGGACAGGCGGCGGCATCTGTGCCGCCCCCGCCGCCGCACCCCTGTCGCATCGACGCCACCACTACGCTGCGCCGTACGACACGGGCACCGCCGCCGTACCGTGACACCTGCACGTCCGACGGAGTTAACGTCACCGTGCCGTTCACAAGCACCAGCACTGGTAAAGAAGGCGAGCTGCTGCTGCTGCTGCCGCCGCTGGCGGCGTCGTACGACGCCGCCGCCGCCAAGCCACCTGCCGTTGACCCCGTATCCTGCGGAAGAACAGGTGCCACTGCATCCGCCCAGTCATTGCCCTTGGTGACGATGTACAACGGCGGTTGGACATGCTGGTACGACGCAACGGTTGCCGGCGGCTCCGAGTCTTCGAATGGGACGCCGGCGGGAGGTTGGCTCGTAAGCATCACCCGGGTGAACATACTGGATGCGGTCCTCAAGCGTTTCAAGTACAGCTGTGTTGAACCCAACACGTCAAACTCGGTGGGCCAAACGTACGGTCGAAGAAAATCCGCAACACCTTTAACCTCCGGAGTGCCCACATTGATCATGATGCACCAGTACGTCATTTCCGTAACTTCGTACTGCGGTACGACAAGCGTTACATCCTCGAAATACCTTGACGGCTGCGCGGGCGTGCCAGTGACCTGAACCATCGGAAGCGGCAGCGCACCCGCCAACAATCCCTTGCCGCCTCCGGGTGTCACGACCGTCGTGTAAAGCCGTGTGAGCAAGAGCCGTCGCAGCGTCAGACGCGCGGGGCTCTGCACCGTTAGCCACGCAGCCGTGAAGTTGGCGTCTACATAAGTAATCTTGCCTAATTCCGCGCCTGGCTCCCTGCCGACGATGAACGTGTCCGCCGTCGCCAACCCATCCCGCTGATCCGCAGGTTCCGCATTGCTTGGCGGCCACGGCACATACGGCAGCGTCAGATTCTCCATGATGTTGATTGTGGTGCTAATGGAGAGCGCGCTGGCAGCGGCCATGAAAGCCCGTAGCATTGGGGCGGTGTGCACGAAGAGCTCCACAGGACCAGAGGGTTCCAGGCCCTGGTCGCACCGGACTGAGACGTTGTGCAACGTCACAGCGCCATGGGTGGCGTTAGCGAACATCAACGGCGGCATGAGTTGAGCTGAAGAATGCTGCGGGGCAAAGGAAGCACAGAAGCAATAGCAGCAGCAGCAGCAACAGGAGCAGCAACAACAGGAGGACGTGTTACGGGACGCATGTCTTCAATAGGGGCGGTGTGGAAAAGCCCGCGACTCGCAGTCCTCCCCCACCCCGGGGGTGAAATGCAATGAAAGATAGGAAACCCCACTGCGCATTGGCAGGCACACCAAGCCAGGAGAGAGGAATGGATGGATGGATGGATGACTTTCCATGCCTACGCATCCAGTCCGAAAGCAGACCAACGCGCACCGCTGCGGCTAGAGCTCTTTTCCGGAGGGGCACGATGCTGCGATCCGCCTGATCATCCACAAGAACCTGTCGTTGGCTCTCCGAAACCCATCTGGGTTGTCCACCAACGCGGGACCTGGGTCACGCATCCTCCCAGGGGCTGATGGCTCCGAAACCCAGATCAGAAAAAAACGCGGAAAATACCGTTCTCAAAACCAAACGTTGTACAAAAGCCCCTTCTGGTGTCTCTACCTGGGCGGGGTGTGCGAGTATTTTTATTATCAACCTTACCTGAAACCCGGGCACCCGATTCCAATAGTAAGTCAGCGTGGAGCACCGCGTCTGCACAGTGACATTCTGCAGCACCAAGCGGCTCCCTTGCCGCATGTGGAATATGGATGGCTGCAGTGCCAGCTCGGCATCTCTGGCAATGGGTTGTAGGTCCGTGTCTACGGCTGTGAACACCAGCGCACGCTCCAAAACCAAGTCCTTGAGAGTAACCACCACTCCTGTTGGAGAGGGGACCGGGGGCCAGGGGTTGCAAGGCTCCAGGCGTCAGGAATGAATTCCACACGGGCCGTAAAGGGCAGGGCAACGGGGGGGAGGACGGATATGATGTGGTATATGATGTGGTATATGATGTGGTATATGATCTGGATGTGCAATGTGGCGGGGAGGGGTAAAGGAGAGGTGAGCCGTGGCAGTGGGACGCACAGTGGGACAGAAGAACGTGTGGAATGCGGGGAAACGGGGATTGTGGAGTTACCCCCCAAGGCAGCAGGTTCGTGTAGAGAGAGCGATGTAGACAGAGGCCCAGGGAGGCCCAGGGAGCCGCGGACACCAGCTTCCCCCCGGTCAGCAATGCTCACCAGGCTCCACAGAAAACTGGTACAAGCCGAAGTCCGTGTCCCAGCTGCTAGCGTTTGCTCCAGCGCCGGTTATGACCAACGAGTTTTGGATTGGCGTGCATGCAAAGTTGTGCGTGAGGATGTGGCAGCCGGGTCCCAGGGTGACGTTCGGCTGCGACATTGAGGAATTGATTGCTTCTGCAATATCATTGTCTATACTGATGCACCCAGTATCGGCTGGTGCAGTCACGTTGGCTTCGGCGCGAGCCCAACGCGGGACTGCAAGCAACCAAAGGAGCAAGCAGCCCACAGGATAGAGCCCGGCGCCCGAGGGCGCCATACCAGTAGAGGCTTCAAAACCTGACAAGGGGATCGTGACGCAAAGAACGCATTCTTTGTCAGGAACGGGTAATGTGACAAAGCACTACAAGCGCCGAATTCATGACGCAAGATATAGCCTTGTCAGGTTTACAAAAATAAATTATCGCAATTGGTATGTCTTTTCCTGCCTTGGTCAGCACAGTCATCAAGCTGTGCGCGTCCGACGAGGAGTAAAAGGTCCAAGTAAATGGTTACCTCACCTCGACGGTCGATTAGAGGGGGAAATCCACCACGTAAAGTTTATATTTTCATGGTAGCAAACTGTTGCATCGTGAAAAAGGTTCAGCTGCAGGTCCTCAAAAAACATATTCTTGTCAGCTTAAGATTTAGGAGAACACTCATGTTGAAGCCCAAATAAGATGTCAAGCCTATACCCATACTCCATATAGCTCAATTGCGTGTTCGCGTTAGGATGGCGTGTGTACACCGCTTACAAATAGAAGTACGTAATCGCTGTTAACATAATCCTTCGCTACTCAGCTGTGCCCATGGCTACATGCAAGATTATTCAGATTCTATAGGCCAAGTGTTTGGAACGATACTCAATGAGGACACACCGGGGAAGACCGTTATATACGGCAACATCAGTTCCTTGCAGTTCGTGTCATGCTACGATGTTTTTGTGTGTGGATTCTCTACTGGAAAGGTGTTGTTGACGCGCGATATTGACACACAACACACTATAGGAACGCGCCGTCTTCTCCCTACGCGCGTGCCTCACGTAAACAGTAGAGACCGGCATTCTTCAGGCGCACGTGCACGCGCTGAGACGTAGAAGAGGGAATATAACCTATTAGTTTCAGAAGCCTGTCATGAAATTGCCCAGCAAATGTTAAAGCCCAGGCCAGCACATTCTTCTGTTGACATGGCAACGGGCAGAACGAGCTCATGGCCAAGCTAGTGGCCGATCTCATGGCCGAGCTCGTAGCTCCGAGGATGCTCCAGTTCCGGTGTTTCTTGTCAACCGCCCAACCTTCAGTACACCTTGGGGTTCCGGACCAAAGTCTTTCTGTTCGCGAGAACTTTGACCATGGCCCCATTATAGCGTATAAATTGTACAGCTATCATGTATTCAGAGGGTAAAATTTGAGATTACCTATCCTAATGGCTCTGTAAAACCCAACCGGCGCAGAGAAATGGCGCCGCAAACCCTTCCAAAGCTAGGTGGAAACAGTACATCACGTAAGAAAGCCCGACACGACACGATGTCTTTGCACCAGTTTGCCCAGTCCCTCGCGTAACCGGCGGACGACCTATTACCAGACCATTCCCACCTGTTGCCCAAATGCCAACCGCATCACAGCGAAAAACTACCTGCCAAGGCATCGAACCACTTTTCCCCATCCAGCTGCGAATCGTCCTTTCCTCTGCCGATCACCTCGGGTTTAGCTCTTTCCACTTCTACTGCCTAGAAAAGGAATGGTCAGCCCAATCAAGGTGCGGGAAAAAAGACCCCGCATGGCACCTGAGCCTGCGGTCAACCTCAAGAGCTTAGCTAGCCGCTAAACTGTTCGGTGCCCCTGTACGAAAGTTTCACCCGTCATGACACCAGACAGTCAAAATAAATATATTTCAAAGTAAACTGATAAACTAAGAAACGAAGGAAACGAAACAGGCCTACACTTTGTATTACAAGAATTACAAGGCAGACGGCGGGGTTTCCTTCACCCCTTGGTGTCACATTTGCGTTTTTCGACCGAGATACATACATACATACATACATACATACGCCCATCCATTGGCGTATCCTTGGGTTCCAGGGTGCCATTGCGGCCGAAATGCGACGCAAATACTCTCGTGCATGTTGCATTGCATGACGCACAAATAATAGGCACGAACACCTTCGCTATAAGTCTAGGATGCGCTGGGAATGGGTCGGTTCCGCAGAGGCTGGCACCCGTACTACATTTCCGTACATTGCAGCAAACAACAGCCCTTATGAAATACCCTCCCTCCTGGATCTAAAATGTTACCGCGCGCGCTGCTGCTGCTGCTGCTGCTGCCACTGTGCTATATAAGCCGCATAGAACCGTTGTAATTGGTGAACCCGAACGGATCCGGTGACTTTTTCGATCACAACCGCACAACCTCCTAATCCCCCTCGAATGACATACTTGGAACTTAAGAGGTGACTGAACTCCACAAAGCATTTACAGGTTCACACTCTTCCTGCAGCCGCTTGTTTTGCGGTTGACCAATGACGTCCGTCTCTCTCACACACGTTTTTCCCTTGTCGTCTCAGTCCCATGTCGTCCATGTGCGCAGTAGCGCTCGTTTGGCTACATATCATGTTTTTGTAATGCCCGCATGGCCGCACATACCCTAGCTACAGGGGGAGGAGAAAAAGTCAAAAAGTGAGAGGTCTCGAGGGGATGGGGCTGGATGAATAAACTGCAATGGGTATGTACGGTACTCAACCTTGACCCACCGAGCCACTGACCCACAAGAGACCGGCTAAGCCGAACCACACCGAACCACACCGACCCACACCGACCCACACCGACCCACACCGACACAGACCGAGTCAGACCGACCCAGACCGAGTCAGACCGACCCAGACCGACCCATGGGCTTATGGACCAACGGGCTCTTATGGATATCTCGCCACCGCACTTGTACGGAACCTGCTTTTGGAAAAACCTTGAACCGTGGACTTGTATCGGCAGCCAGCAGCCCGGCCAGCATCGTGAGCCCCCTGCTCATGAGCCGTCCCAGACGCGGGTTCCCGATAAACCCTGTTGCTGCTCGCCGGCTGATTCACATAGCCGACACAGTCACAAGTCACCGACTAAAGTGCCGCAACAGGAATCAAACATGGGCATAGTTGCACAACACGTGCATCGACCTCACAAGCCGCGGTTGCAACTTCCACGGCTGCTTCCGCCCTGGCGGCTGCGGCGGCTGCGGCGGCGCACCATCTGCATGTGGCCGTACTTTATAGCCGCTGAAGAGGCAGCTGCAAGCTTGCCGTCAACGCAGCATGCAAATATCGCCGTGGATGCCGATACTCCCCTCGCGGCCATCGGTGAATCCGCCGCCTCCGCTTCCACCTCGAAGTCACGCCCTTCCCGGTGGCCCTGACCTCGCTCCTCCTCCTCCTGCTGTTCCTCCTCCGCCTCCTCGTCCTCCTCCGCACACATGCAAGCCTTCACAAGGGAGCTGCGAATGTCGTTTTTGCCAGCCAGCGCAGAATTATCACCGCTGCTGCTGCTGCTGCTGCTGTGGTGGCGGCGGCGGCGGCCAATGCCGTTTACAGTACGAACAGCCATCTCACCACCGAAGACGATGGCGGGAGGGAGGTGCACATAAAGGGCAGAGGGGAACATATCCATAACATGTCCATCCCCGGCGCCCCGTAATACATGCACGCCTTCCTTAATTCAGGTCTATTCAGGCTGGCTACTCAGGCGTACTATAGCCAGCCTGAATTAAGGAAGGCCTGAATTAAAAAATATGTTATTTATTATTTCCCCTATTATTATTTTTACGATTAGTACTACTACTACTACCACCATAATTTATAAACATGATAACATTTCCCCAACGACACTCTAGATTTTCCTTCCTTGGGAAACATGAGCTACATAATTCTGTCTGCTGACTGCTGTGGGGCGCCCACCTTCGCCACCCGGCGGCACTTTGAAATGAATAACACACCCGGAAGGTGGTCTACTAAGGAACGCTTGATTAATTAAATGCACTTTCCGTGGCCCATGTGCGCCCACATCGCGACCCTTCGCAATTGCCGCAGCCCGCTGTGCATCCGACCCCATCGCGCGATTCAATCGCCTCCCTCCCTGCTAACTGAGGGTCAAGGAGGTCGTGGGAGGTTATGGGCTACAGTGCTTGCGTTGCCGACCGCAGCAGGGTGGGACTCTCCCCTCCCCCATAAGGAAGTCATCTGAGTGAGTGTAAGGAAGGGAAAGGGGTAGGTACGTGTTCAAATGCAAGCAGTAGCAATTGCTCCTTTTCGCGCTGGGCTTTCTTCCTCCCTTTTCCCCCGACTGAGGATGTTTTCAATGGATGATGTGGGGGAGGGTTGGGGGTTGGGAGGTGAACTCCCCATCAGGATTTGCCGTCCGTGCAGCTAATCAACCTGGATGTACGGATTCAGTGTGGGCACCGCCTTTTTCATGGCTTCAAGGAAGCCGACACCCTACTTGTCCATTTTTGATATTGTTGTAACATCTTCACTTGAACTTGCAAAAAACGAGGTTCTTGGTGTGAATTCTCTTGGCCATTACGGCATTGGTGAGAGGCTGCGCGTAATCTTTTCAGTCGTACTGGAAAAGGCCTTGGCCAGATACACAGCAGCACTTAGCAAAATGTAGTTATCGTACTGAAAATAGGTATCAGATAATAGGTATGACCATCTCAAAACGTATTTACGATCTTCAGTCATTGCCAGGTTCAATCTTTTGCGAAGGCTTTGTCAAAGCAATTGGAAGAACTGTTTCGAATTCATTAATTCAGACATGGAGTGCAAGCCTTTTTCGTCTGTTGCTGGCCGTGGCGCCCGGGAGGGCCCGTCCATGGGCCGCATTCTTCATGTCGATCATTCACAAATTATATCCGCGTGGATGGTGATTCTTCGGCTCAATCCGGCGAGCATAATGTTTTTCTTACCGCGCTTGCCTTTTCCATGGTTCTTATGAGACGAATTTGTCATACAATTTTACCTTCACCACTGCCATATATATGGCGAGTAAATCATGACGCAAGCATGATTGAGAGGACGCACAAATGAAGCCATGTTATATATTTGATAAGCTACGCTCGGTTAAGCCTTCATCACAATTGCAGTTTAGGGCTCGGTACATCTCTAAACAGGCGAAGCCCTTATGTCTAAACCGCACCTCCTGTGTTATAACGTTTGTATAGGCGGCAAGTTGTGAAAAGGAACCGGACCGCTCCTAAACAATTGGGAAGCGTAAGCTGACTTTACTTGCCGAGAGACTGGCGTAAGCCAAGAGAATCGGGATTTTCTAAATCAACTTAGGCTTTCAATGTTAATAGCTATGCCTGCTTGGGACGATGACCGTTGGCCCGGTGAGCCAAGGGCCGCCTTAGCGGCGTTACACATATGGTCAAGCTTGCGATCATCAACATCACACGCCGTAGTCCTAGCTCCGCTAGCTCCGAAGTTAAGACAAGACCTAACACGAGTCCCGTAAGTTCGCCAACTAACTTCGAAAAATTACATATCCCCCTTTTTCGGAATGAGCACCGTCCGTGGTGCGAAGGGAAAGCACTAAACGGCCAAAGCCTCTCCGAACCCCTTAACGAAATCGGTACCAGGCGAACGAGGGGAAGGGAAGAGGGAAACCGGAGACAAGGCAAAAACCTTCCCCGCATTGAAAACCGGCCTAAAAGTGGCGCACGACTCGTACCTCGTCCGGACTAAGTAACCGGCGATACATGTAGGCACCCAATAATACCAAGAGCAACGACTAAAAGCCCTCAGTACAAAAACACAGAAACCGAGCAACTATACACAATCAGCACACTGCGCACAACTTCAACCCGAAGGCAAACTGATGCCATTACACTACACACAGTACCAAAACGGACACTAGCCCAAACGCGCTGACCCCTACCCACACCCACACCCACACCCACACCCACACCCACACCCACACCCACACCCACACCCTGTGTGTTTTGCTGTCTGTGGCCGCAGTGGGGGTCGACCTACCGAGCGACTACCGGGTGCTGATGCTGTCATGGTGTGTTGGCCAGGGCAACGTACGTACGAAGGTGAACTCCTTTGAACCCATATGGGACCCACATCACACTTCCCCGCGATATGGCGCGCGCCAAATGGATATCGTGGGGCGGTGCCCACGTGCACACAGGTAGTACATATCAGGTTCATAAAGTGAAGCAGCAGTTATTGTTATGGTCGAGTTTGTAACGAGGAGTAGGATGAAATGCGAGTATTAATAAAGCGGAAACGTTTATAACAGATTGTATAACAGCTAGTTGGTTTTTGACTGACAACCAAATGTCCGCCTAGACGGAAGTAACCGGAGGAAGGATATACCCCTGATTGGGTACGACTGTACGATAGTACGGCAGGAGTTGTTCCGCCTATGCGTTACAAGTAGTAGTAATAAGTATACTACGTCATTCAGTAAGTAACGGAATGCTCATAACAGAGTTCCACCAGCCCTTGAAGGTTCTTCTAAGATTTCAATTCTCCAAGGGAGGATTTTCAAGGATGGCTGTATTCCCGCTATATTCACTCACCATTACCAAAAAGGAAATCCCAGTTTGTTTCCTTTCCATCTCTGAATGATATGCAGCAGTTTTCGTTAATTCTGGATTCCGAGTCCAAAAAGGAGTTCAAAAAGCCCGGAGTCCTACATGCCCACAGGTATACGGCCATTTTATTGATTTGGCTGTGTTGTACCGCTGACGGAGTAGGTAGCAGGACCCCGTCGACACAGGGCCCAGATATCCTCCGCTTCTCACGCTCCTTATTACATGGACCATGGATCCTACTGTAGGGTTTTAGGGTTTTAGGGTTTTAGGGTTTTAGGGTTTAGTAGGGCCCCTACCTAGCCCGCACCCGGACCACACAAACATGAAGTGCACGGCGAAGTAATGCAGCGCCGGTTTCACTGTTGTTGCTACCCCTGCTGTTGCTGGTGACGGCGCATTCATCTCCCGATGCTCCTTGCCAACTGCGACGAACCATCTCAGCATTCTGCCCTCCTGCCCTCCTCCTGCCCTCCTGCCCTCCTGCCCTCCTGCCCTCCTCCTGCCCTCCTGCCCTCCTGCCCTCCTCCTGCCCTCCTGCCCTCCTGCCCTCCTCCTGCCCTCCTGCCCTCCTGCCCTCCTGCCCTCCTGCCCTCCTCCTGCCCTCCTGCCCTCCTGCCCTCCTGCCCTCCTCCTGCCCTCCTGCCCTCCTGCCCTCCTGCCCTCCTCCTGCCCTCCTGCCCTCCCGCTCTGCTAGCTATGAAAGCTCTGTGGATTGACAGGACATGGCTAAGCGAGGATATCCCCCGAGGCCACTTTCACTACCTCACGCTCACCCGCGGCTGGCTTCGACAGATCTTCACACACGTACACATATACATACAAATGCACATACACAAATACATATCGGGGTGGGCAGAAACCTCCTGACATTGCATCAGACAATGCTGTTGATCCGCCCGGAGCTGGGTGGGTTGCCCGGAGCTGGGCCCCAAGTACCTTCACTTCTTGGCTTTACTGACGTCCCCCTTTCACATTTCATTATTACTTTCGATATCGCAACCGACGTGCCGTATCTTTGCCTGTCTTATTATTGAGCATTTATTCTGACGTACAATTGGCCGTGTAAAGTCATGAGGGCCTGGGCGCTCTCTGCGTGTACGGCACCCGGCAGTTGTACGACATGACGCAGCGGTGATATTCCCCACAAGGCCGCACGCTCGGAGTTTCGCGGCTGCGCTTGAATGATGACCTTGCCGTAGTCGTATGCTCGTACGGAAACCTCCTCGAGCTGTCGAACAGTGGTGGCGAGGGCGGGGAGGGCGAGTCACATATGCTTGTCGCGTCATACGACTGTAGCATCGACAAAACACGTGCGTACGGCAGACTCATATTCATACTGATATCAACTAAGACAAGTAGGAAAGACGGTAAAATGAACGTGACGCTAAAATGTCTTGACAACCTGCCGTGAAGCGACACTGTTGGGAGAGGCGTCAGCGCTAAGGATAGTTTCGGATCTCTATTGGATTTATTCAAGGATTAAAAGGTTTTGTTGTCCAGCAGAGACCCTTTGCTCTGCACGGGAATCGAACAGGGTATGCAACGTCAGACTTCTGTCTCATTTTTTCCTTTCATCTTGTATCTCACATGACTTTTGAAAATCATAACAATAAGCGCCTGATTCCTCCTCCGTTTACGGCTTCCTTACCAGGTACCCAGCCACCAGGCAAAACACCTCAAAGCCGGGGGGATCACTGCAGCGGAGGACCTGCGGTCCCCGGGGGCCGCGGCGAAAGAGGGCAAGAAACAGGACAAGAAACAAAATCAAGTTTTGTGACAAAAACAAAAAAATGTTTTCAAGAAAAAAAAATGTCTTCTTGCAACAAGGACGGCTTTCCATTAGAATTCTACGACTGCGGAATAGAACGAACACCGTACAATTTCAGATTTACAGGTCTTCGTTACGACAAGTATTCAAAAGTTTGGAGCGTATAGATTGGCCCTGTAGGCTTTCAGGGAAGAAGGAAGATCTCCGCGTCGGTTTTGAGCGAAGTAAAACAACACGCTTTTTGATATCGGGTACCAGGGGTTCTTGGGCCCGCTCCCGCTCACATTGTATCCGGGGCCGCGGATGACGACCTCCCCGCCGTAGTTGGCGGCGGCGGCGGTGGCTGCCGCGGTGCCGCCGGAGGCGGCGGCAGCGGCGGCGGCGGCGGCGGCGGCGGGGGCAACATCCACGTCGTCGGCCTCCAGGTCCAAGGCAATCGCCGTCTCGCCGCAGCTCTGGTGCTCGGGGGTGGCGG